GAACTAGGAAGCAATGATTCACAGGATTTTAGAGTCAAAGGGGCCCTTGAGGTGAAGGTCTGCTTCCTCATTCTCAGCCTCTCATGTCCCTGCCATGTCCTTAGCTGAGTCGATTTTTTTTTTTAAGAGAGGGAGATGGAAAGAAATCAGAGGGGATAAGTCCAGGGTGACGAGATCCACCCATCCATCACGGCTCCTGACCACCAACAGTTGGAGTCTTTCTCTTTACTCTGTGAGGTTTTTTTTTTTAATTAACCTTTTTTCATTTTTCCTACTTTAGATTTTCACATTATAGTCCTTTGTTCATCCTCGTCTTCCCTCTAGATAATGAAGATGGATATAATCTGAACTTAAACTTGCTTGCCCTGGGTCATTGCCAGTGCTTAATAAAGTGTATTAGTATTTGTAGTAATGATAATAACCCACAGATAATGATGTCACTAAAGACCAACGGGTCCCCTTGCATGAGACACCCCCACTTCCAGTCACCTAGCCTTGCCGGATATAACGGAGACCTTGACTGCTTCAGATAGTCAGTGTCCCCTTTAAATTACAAAGGTTTCATAGAGACAAGCATTCTTCACTTAAGGCTTTTCCAGACTGTCTGATGTGCTGGGCTCTGGATAACCTTGCTACTGTGTCGCCATATGTCATACTGCCTCTCGGAAAATTGTTCCCTGCTGTTTGCAAAAATGAACTACTTAAAGGAAAACTAAAAGAAATTTCCTTTGTTCACTTCGGTATCGGAAATGGCTATACTCAAGTAAGCAGTTTGGGGCTGTGGAGGAGACTGTGTGGTATGAGGAATGGTGGGAGGAAAGGAGGTGACCCAGCTTGACAGAAATGTGACTGTGGAATAGATGTGTCGGGCATCTTAAAAATCTGTGGCAGTATGGAAGAGGGGTTTGACCTCTTCTAAGAAGGCCCAGCGCATAGATGTAAAAAGTCAGGTTTGACTCCGTGTGGGTTGAACTTTATCCTTGTCTGGGAGGGAAAGATGCTTGACCTGGAACTGACAAATTCCCCGTCTCTGGGCATTCAGGCAGAAGTGGGTCCTTTGGGACTCTTGATAGAGGGTTAGAAGGACCCAGTGATGTTTAGACCAAGTCACTTGATGTTTCTTCTGAACCTCAAGAGGTGATAATTATGGTTCTTGACATGAGATTTTAGGGTTGATAAGTGGGAGCCTCGGGGATTTCTCTTTAACATCTTTTAAAAGTTACAATACAAAATAATGGGCTTAAGCTGAGCGCGGTGCCACATACCCATAATTCCAACGTTTAGGAGGCTGAGGCAGGAGGATTGCTGTGAGTTTGAGGACAGATTGAGCTACATAATGAGTACCAGGACAGCCAGACCCTATATGTATGTATGTATTTATGCATGTGTGCATGTGTATGTATAAGTGTGTGGCTACATGCATGCATGGAGGTCAGAGGACAACCTGTTGGAGTCAGTTCTCTCCCTCTATCATGTGAGCTCCAGGGATTGAACTCAACTCCAATTGCCAGGCTTGGCAGCAAGAGCCTTCCCCTGCTGAGTCACCTCCTGGTTCCCTAGACTCTGGGTTTTTTTTTGTTTGTTTGTTTGATTGGTTTTTTTTTGAGACAGGGTCTCTCTATGTAGCCCAGGCTGGCCTTGAACTCACAGAGCTCTGCTTGCCTCTGTCTCTGGAGTGCTGGGATTAAAGGTGTGCATCACCAAACTCAGTTAGACTCTGTCTTTAAAAGAAAAGTAAAATGACTGGTGAGATGGCTCAGTGGGTGAAGCACTTGCCATGTAAGTATAAGGACTAGAATTTGAATCCCAGCACCCACATAAAGGCTGGGTAAGCATGGTGGTGTGCCTGCAACCCAGCACTGGGAGGCAGAGATGGGATCCCCAGAGCAACCTGGCTAGCTACACTAGCCAAGTCAGCAGGCTCTGAGTTCAAGACAGAGACCTTGCCCAGATAGATGATAGGTAGATACATAGATAGCTAGATAGCTAGATGATAGATAGATAGATAGATAGATAGATGATAGATAGATAGATAGATAGATAGATAGATAGATAGATAGATAGATAGATGACAGACATATGTGGAGAGCATTTGAGGAAAACAACATCAATCTTTGGCTTCTACACATAACGTGCACAACCTTTGGCTTCCACACACATGTGAACATGAATATACATATACACATACACCACATACACAAGCAAATAAATAAAATCCATCCTCGACTGCATATTGAGGTTGAGTTGTTTTTAAAAAGTCAGGCATTGTGGCATGCTTAGAATCCTAGCACCTAGAAGGCTGAGGCAGGAAGATGGTGAGTTCAGGGACAGGCTGGGAATCTGCTCAAAAATAAAATAAGGTGTTAAAGAGATGGCGTAGTGGGTAAGAGCACACACTGGTCTTGCAAAGGACCTGATGTCGGGTGGCTCACAACTACCTTAATTCCACCTCCAGGAATCCAAAGCCTGCTTCTGGCCTGTGTGGGCACCTATACAAATGTGGTATACACTCACAGACACACATAAAAATAAAAATAAAATTTTTAATAAAAAAACAATGAAATATAATAAAACAAAGTTTCCATTATGGCACTTGGTACATATTTATCATTGAAACTTGCTCCTATTCACCCCTCTAATACTTTTCTCCCTGAGTGATTTCTTGATTTAAAGAAAATGTTCAAATTTAGGACTTGACTCCAGGAAGACAAACTGGGCCCCTTCCAAAGACCAAGTGTCCGTCACCAGCCCTCCAGGTTACATGACACATGACAGGTCCAAGCTCTAAGAAAACAAAGACTGGACTGTGGTTCTAAAGAAATCCATGGAGCTGAAGAGCAAGAGGAGTAGAAACAACTATCAAAGGTGGGAAGAAGGTGAGTCTGGAGAGATGGTTTATGCAGTAAAGCGCTTGTCACGCAGGCGTGAGGACCCGAGTTCAGATCTCCTGCACCCAGTAAAAGCCAGGTGCAGTGGTCTATCTTTAACACCAGAGCTGGGGAAGGTGGAAGCAAGTTCCCGAGCTTGCTGGCCAGTCAGCCAGCCTAGCCCTGTGAACGCCAGGTTAAGTGAGCGATCCTGCTCAAAAAAAAAGTGGAGAGTGACTGAGAAAGACACGTGACATTGATCTGTGGCGCGTGCATGTGTGACACACACACTCTCACTCCTTTGAAGGAGGGATGGTCCGCAATACTGAATGCTGCAGAGCGGGTGCAGAGGCTCTGTCCAGGAGGAGGCAAGAGAAGCTCCCAGGCAGGAGGAGCAGCAGGAGCATGACCCCAGGAAGAAAGACCAGCAGCTGGTGGAGGCAAGGAGTTCAGAGCGTGCTCATGACACGGCTGGGTGAGCAAATAGGTGGAGCCTGGCTGGACCTGTAGACGCTGAAAGCAGAAGGGAAAACAGGTGAAGCAGCATATGGAGACTCACATCATAATCCCAGGTCGTGGGAGGCTGAGGCAGGCGAATTGCCTCGTTTGAGACCAACTTGGACTATATAGCAAGAATCTTGTCTCCAAGTAAACAAACAAATAAAAGTAAAACAAGATGATGAAAAGGAGAAATTGCTTTATGGCGAAAAGGCAGAAAATATGTTGGTATCTAGGACAAGGGGAACTGCCGTGTGGTGTTTATAGTTTGCTGCTTGCTTTTCCTTCCACGATGCAATCCTGTCCCATAAACAGCAGTTTTTGACTGTAATCTGTTTTTCAGAGGCATGAACAGACTACACAGATGAGACTGGCTGAAAGGGAAGGGCAGACATCTTTTTTTATTTTTAATTTTTTAAACTTTATTATTTTTATTTTATGTGTATGAGTATATTGCCTGCATGTAGGTAAGGGCACCTGTATCATGCAATGCCCGTGGAGGACAGAAGCGGTCGTCGGATCCCCTGGAACTGGAGTTATGGACAATTGTTAGCTGTCATGTGGGTGCTGAGATTCAAACCCAGGTCTTCTGCAAGAACAACCAGAACAACTGAGCCATCTCTCCAGCCCCAATAAATGACTTACTTTATTCCTAGCTCCTTTTTATTATATTAAAATATTTTATTATTTTTATTTTATGTGTATGAACGTATTGCCTGAATGTGTGTAAGTGCACCCGTGTCATGCATTGCCCGCAGAGGTCAGAAGAAGGCATCAGATCCCTGGAACTGGAGTTATGAAACGTTGTTAGCTGCCATGTGGATTCTGGGAATTGAACCTGGGTTCTCTGCAAGAGTACTCAGTGCTCTTAACTACTAAGCCATCTCTCTAAGCCCCCTCCTATCTCCTTTTTAAAAGTCTTACTACATTTCTTTGTTTTGTGGGTATGTGTGGTATATGTAGGTGCACATGTATGCAGGTTTACATGCATGTGTGTGTGTGTGTGTGTGTGTGTGTGTGTGTGCGCAGGTACAGCGTTCCAAGGTTGATGTCTGTGCCTTCCTTGATCACTTTCTACCTTACTTATTGAAGCAGGTCTCTTTTTCTAATTTACTTTTTATTTTGATGTGTATGGGTGTTTTGCCTGAATGTGTGTTTGCGTGCCATCTGCATGTAAACCTGCAGAGGCCAGAAGAGGGTGTTAGATCTCCTGAAACTGGAGTTACAGACAGTTGCTGGCTGCCATGTAGGTGCTGGGAACCAAACACAGGTCCTCTGCAAGAGCAGCCAGGGATCTAGTGATCTTAACCACTGAGCCATCTCTCCAGCCCTAAAGCAGGTCTCTTGCTGAGCCCAGAGCTCACCAATCCTGACTAGCTGGCCAACTTGCCCTGGGGATCCCCTGTCTCTGCCTCCCCAGTGCTGAGATTACAGGCAGCTGCCATGCTGGCCCAGTTTTTTATGTGGGGTCTGGGAATCTGAACTCAGATCCTCATGCTTGAGCAGCAAGTGCTTTATCCACTGAGTCATCTTCCCAGACCTCCAACAATATTCTAGGGAGTTAAGTTGACTCCTTCAAGGACTAAGTCACAGGCATTCTACCAATTTTCTCTTGGAGCTATCTTTATCTTTTTTTAAAATATGAAATGCTTCATGAACGATTGTGTCATCCTTGTGCAGAGACTGTGCTAATCTTCCCTGTATCATTCCAATTTTAGTATATGTGCTGCCTCAGCCGGCATATCTTTATTTCTTAACTCTGTCTTGCAGGATTAAAAACTACATCTGATCTCATAGTATTGCGGGTTTTTTTTTTTTCAAACTTTGAAACAGGGTTTCATGTAGCCATGGGTGGCCTCTACTCACTGTGTAGCCCAGGATGACCTTGAACTTCTGATCCTCCTGCTTTTCACCTCCAGAGTGCTGGCATTACAGGTGTGTGCCACCACACTCAGTTTCTGTGGTGCTGAGGACTGAACCCAGGGCTTTGTGCACACCAGGGAAGCACTCAAATGAGCTGCATCCCCAGCCCCAGTTTTGTTTTGAAGCTAAGCACGGGATGCCATGAAGTCCCCTCAGTATGACACACCTCCATGGGAGGCCATTATGTGCTTTGCTGCTCAGTCTGACACTTGAGGACTCAGGGACGAGGGGACCCTGGAGAGTACCTGTCTGGTGGCCTTTATAAAAGAATTCTTTTCTGCTCCTGTTACTTTACTACTGGGTGCTATCTTAGCCTAATCTTGGCTACTAGGTCATTTGATTTGGAAAAAAGACATCAATTCTCTTTCTTGTACCTTGAAATTCCTCATTCATAAAATGGTTAGGTACTACTATCTACTCTCCTGGCAGCTTCTATCGCCAAATTCTGTCATATTATATTCCACTTCCCATTGCAGGAGGAAACCCAGACATTGCTGTCTACCATTTATATGCTTAATATATATATTCATCTATTTAAGCTATCCAAATCTGTCTCTGCTTTGTTCTCTGCTGGATGCTGCTCTTGCCTCTTCTTGCACTCAGTGCTTAAATTCATCATTCCTTAAATGCCGAATCCTTTCTTTTCTAAATTCTCTAATAAAGCTTATTATTTCAACAATTTATATTTAACATTAAACTTTAATCATGAAGTTGTTCACCAAAGAAAATTATTAAATAAGTGAGTTTGGAATGAGCTAGAAAGGCTGAAAAAAAATAAGTGAGTATTTCAGAATGAGCACTTTGGAAAAGAAATTTATGCATAGAAAACAATGGAGAATTACAATTAAGAGCTCTGGGGAGCTCAAGCTGATTTGTCCACCCATTACATAGTCATTTCAATTTAAATTAAAATTGTAACTATTTTCTAGTCTACCAAAAATATGAGGTGTCACATTAAGAGTTTTAATGGTGCGTTCTCTGGGGAATGCAAAAGCAGGAGACTAGCACATAAATAGCTACACAGTACAGGGAGAATAAATTTTCTGCCAAAAATGAATATGATCAAAACAGAAATGACAGCGGATTATCTTATTCCCTCTAGTGAAGCGCAGCTCGAACATTAGAGCAAAGAGACAGTTCACAGGGTGTCTAACTCCATATCACTTTGTCAGAACTGACGGAAAGAACAACAGGAAAAAATTGAATGGGCTGATAGACCCAGGCTTAAGTGAGGCATAGATTTTGTTCCCAATGTAAAGTATGTTTTCAACCACAGAAAGTAGGTGGCAAGAATATTTGATATTTCTAACTAGAAAATTAGATTAGTCAAGGTTTTAACTACTGTAGAACACGCTTAAGGCAATCTTATTTCCTGAAGGAGGGGGAGGAAGTCAAAAGCAAACGTAGCTTTTAGGAGTAAGCAAACCTTGGTGTGTGTGTGTGTGTGTGTGTGTGTGTGTGTGTGTGTGTGTACCCTATTTCTGGGGAGAAGTGAACAAACATCTACTTGCCTTAGATAGGGAACCAACAACCTTACCAAAGTAAGGATTCCATTAAAGTCCAACTTGATGAACCTGAGTTTATTAGAGTTAACTTACAGGATTATGTCTGAGTGGTTATTTACAGGAGCAGAAATGATTCAAAGACAGCTGCCTCACCAAACACCCACCCAGCACAGGGGATGGCTCATGAAAGCTAGAAACCTGAAGCACACTGCACAACCCAACAGGCAGCCCAACCAGGTGGAGGAAGTTTCTCCTGGGCTGCTCAGCTGGTTTGAGAGTCTTGCAGCAGTCCTTAGAGATTAAATATGCTTGGAGAGGGAGGAGCCTAGTGAATCTGTTCAGTTTCAGGGACTTCCTAAAGTTACTGAGTTGTTTACTTCCTGAACTTAGTGAGCCTCCCTACAGGATAGAATGTTCACCTTCCCTTAGAACATCCTGTGTTTCCAGGCTACACAACAGTGTTTGCTAAAGTAATTAGTCAGGCTAGGGGAAGGTCCAATGACAGGACACAGATGACTTGGGACTTCATTGGAATACCAGTGACTTAAGATAAAAGAAGTGACAGTTGGAAATCTGGAGAAAGGAGTGAAAGAATAGGGAATAGAGATAAGAGGGGCTGGAGTGATGGCTCAGTGGTTAAGAACACTTGCTCTTCTTCCAGAGGACCCAGGTTCGATTCTCAGCATTCACATGGCAGCTAACAACTGTCTGTAACTCCAGCTTCAGGGAATCCAATGCCCTCTTCTGGCCTCTGCAGGCATTACATGACATGGGTGCACTTACATTCAGGCAAAACACTCACACACACATTAAAAAAAAGAATAGGGATAAGAGATTATAGCTAAGCTTGGCTGAGCTTCCTGGTATCCAGATGAAATGGAAATTGGAGGGTCTCATGATTGTTGCTGTCATAAAGTTTTCCCATTTATGAGTTCTGGGAGTAATGATTTGCAAATTTGAACACACATTAGAATGATCTGGGAGATTAAGAAATAATGATGAATAAGCTCCAGAAATTCTGTTTAATTCTCATAGGGTGGGGTTTGTATAGTTCTGTTTTTAAAACACCTCTGCCAGGTGTGGTGGCACACGCCTTTAATCCCAGCACTTGGGAGGCAGAGGCAGGCGGATCTCTGTGAGTTCAATGATATATCACAGTGAAAGATTTATCGTCCTCTTTTTTTTTTTTTTTTTTTAAAAAAAAAAAAAAAAAAAAAAAAAAAAAAAAAAACCAAAAAAACACCTCTAAGGTAGGCTGGTATTCATCACACTTGTGGCTTAGTGGTTTATGAAAGACAGAGGAGCAGTCACTGTTCTGTAAAAGATAAAAAAAATTTTCTAAAAAAATAACTTGCCTCCCAGGGCTCAGGGATCATTTTGGAAGAGGAGGCAGAAAGATTGTAAGAGCCAGAGGTGGGGATGAGCAGAAGGAAGCAGAGTCTTCCAGACAGCAGGTTATGTACTCATATGAACTCACAGCAATGGTGATAGAAGGCACAAATCCTATAAAGGCTCAAACAGACAAATTCCCAGCATAGACATGGGGAAGTGGGCAAGAAATCCCAGCCCAACCTAAGGCACTTTTGGCAAATGATGACTGCTGGGAGGGGGAAAGACAGTGTCTTACAGGTTTGGGACTCTTGGTAGACCCAGTGGATGGATCCACATGGAAAGACATTGGGGGACACAAATCATACTCTATAGGTCATATTATATATAAGGGAGTTCATTAAATTGGGTGGGGGGCTGTGAGGGGAAATGTGGAGAGGGGAGGGGATCTAAATACCATCAAACTATATTGTATGAAAATCACAAAAATTCAATAAAAGTGTTTAAACTTAAAAAAAGCATTATTTATGTATATATGTGCACTTGTATGCAGGTGTCCAAGAAGGCCAAAAGAGGGCGTCATATCTCCTCTGTTAGGTCCTCAAAATGGCGGCAGTGCTGCCAGGCTCCCCAGAGGTTCGGGATAGCAGGTTCCTCAACCAGAAAGAGGAAATCGAAGCAGCATTCCTCAGAAACCAGGTTTTGAAACCCCCCTTCAGAAAGCACGTTTCAAAACCCCCGGCAGAGACCATGTTTTGTAAAAACTCCCTGCTTACCAGGAAGCTACAGCTTCCTCACTCTTCAATGGTCACCCTCGGGTGAGAGTATCATAGGAAGTTACCCAAGACCCTATCGATAAAACCTAGTCTACTTCTGCTAACTGCTGTTTCTCTGCTTCTGAGAGATAGCCCAGCAGTTTGTTAATAAACTGTTTTTCTCATTCATGAGTGATCTTGTTCTGTAATTTTCGCTGTGTGCTTCCATACACCCTGGAGCTGGAGTTGCAGGCAGCTGGGTTGTGAGTTGCCTGCTGTGGGTGCTGGAAACTGAACTTTAGTCCTTTGGAAGCTTTCTCAAACACTAAGCCATCTCCATAGTCCAGTATACAGAAATAGAGCCAGTTAGAGCTGGGCGTGGTGACACACAACTTTAATCCCAGCACTTGGGAGGCAGAGGCAGGCAGATCTCTGTGAGCTCAAGGCCAGCCTGGTCTATATATTGAGTTCCAGGTCAGCTGGGTGAGACCCTGTCTCAAAAAGACCAAAAAAAAAAAAAAAATAGAGCCAGTTAGTATATTGATCTTTTTGTTTATTTTTTGAGACAAGGTCTCATTTTGTAGCCCAGGTTGGCCTTCAACTTGAAATCCTCCTGCCCCAGCCTCCTATATGCTGGGATAACCTCCTGTCCCAGCCGCCTATGTGCTAGGATAACAGGCACATGCCACCATATCCAGATGAATTCATTATTAATATAAGAGGAGAAATAACACATATTTTGGTGAAGACATTTCTAAAACAACTCAAGTTCAGGTTTCCTGCCACAAGAAACTACAGGCACCTGTATTTTTAGTAATCTATTCCTGCAAAATCACACATTTTTTGCCGACATAATGACCAAGAGCTTGTTTTCTACTATTTTTAATTTTAAAAATTTTAAATAGTTTTTTATTGAAGTTTTGTGTATTTCATACAGAACATATTAATCATCTTTATACTCCCTTCCCCATTGGCACCTCCCATAGCCACCCCCACCCACTGGAATTCATATATTCTGTCATTTGTGTTAAGGCCTATCATTTCAAGTTAGTGTCCCCAGGTGTCCCTCGGTGCAAGTTCATCCACTGAAGTCTAGTCAGTATATCTAGAGTCCCTTCTTTTATTTTAATTGTGTGTGTGTGTGTGTGTGTGTGTGTGTGTGTGTGTGTGTGTGTGTGTGATGCCTGCAGAGGCCAGAGGCCTGGAGCTAGAGTTATAGGTGGTTGTAAA